TACAGGACCCGCAGCCCTGGACGATGTGGCTTCCTCAGACAACACAAGCCTCAGACGTTACCTGGGGGATGCTGAAGAGGACAACTCAGGAGGCTGAACGAATCCTGCTCCGGACACAGACACCATTCACTCCAGATAATTTGCTTCTTGCTATGCTTTCTGTTGTACATTGCAACTCACATAGGGTATGGTTCCTTTTTTATGCTCTCACTTTGTCTGCAACCTGTACCTGCTAAATTCTACTGGGCTCATATCTTAGATCTACCTTTCTTTCACCCTGTCACCTGGGCAGACACTCCCTTCCCAGCCTTTAATAATGTGATTGCTTGGCTAGGAGGGTTAGATTTACACCCAGTGGGGTCTCTCAATAATGGCACACATTGGACTAAGGTGCCAGATAACACTACATATCACTCCACTATCCTTCCACTGTGTGTAAGTTATAAAGGTTCTAACCCTTAATGTGTACCTGCCCAAATCCAATTGTGGCTACATCATGGCAAAATAAATGCCTTAACCGTCTTAGCTGCAGGTAGCCTGAAATTGGGTAATGCAATTAATGCCGCTTTCCCAAACATTCCTTCCTGTGCTAAAGAACAAAGCTGGGAAAGCAATGAATTCCACTTTAGCTGGGAGGTCTGTCATGGGGAACAAGCCCATAGCCTCCAACTAGGCTATTATAACATCTTAGACTGGAGCCCACACAGCTATTTGCAGGGCAGTCTTACTGATGTCCTCATCCATCATGGCATCAATCACCGTTTTGTAACCTCATCCCATTCCCCTATGATTTGAGCTGATGGGGAGATGGGTTATCCCAGACCCCAAGTAAAGTCCTTGCCACTCCATGACACTTTAAGGTACCTGGGACATCTTAGCACCTCCTTTGACACCTGGTATGGGACATATCATAATTCCAGTAACAATTATACTATAGCCTTCACTCATAATCACACTGATCAGTGCCTAATTTGCACTCCCCATCCATATGTTTTCCTTATGGGAACTGATATTTCCATTATACCCCAAAACTCCGCGTTTGTGATCCGGGTGCAGGGACTGGCTTGGTTTGCCTCGTGTATCACTGATTACAATATATCTAACTTAAATATTGCTAGTGTTATGATATTAAGGGGACAATCTGAGGCATTCCTACCAGTCAATTTGACACGCGATTGGCAAGGTTCTTCTGTCCTTGCCACCTAAGAATGTCCCCTGTCCCAGGTCAGACTCAAAAGATTCATAGGCACACTTATAGCCTTTATGGTCTCAGCCATAGTCATCCTGGCAACCGCTAGTGTGGTTGTTGCATCTATTACTGAATCAGTACAAACAGTTGCTTTTGTAGATAATATGGCCAGAAATGTGTCTAATAAACTTCTCTTATAGCAAGGTATAGATCAAAAGATTCTTGCACTACTGCGAGCCCTCAAGGCTGCCTTAGAATATGTGGGGGAGCAACAAGATGCACTGGCATTCCGACAGCAATGAAACTGCCACTGGGGGGCATAAACATATCTGTATCATTTCTCTACCACGGAACCAATCAATACATGGTTGGGATGAAGTGAAACAACGCCTCTGGGAAACCTTTCATGACAATTTAGCAACTTAAAACTAAAATTTTAGAATAAAAATTTAAAGCATAAAATTTAAGACATAAAGCAACTTAAAACTAAAATTTTAGAATCCTTTCACACTATAGATCCACACACCCAACAAACAGCCATATGGAAGGGTGTGCAAGATCATCTCTCCTGGTTAGAGCCCTGCTCCTGGGGCTCACTCTGACTGGAAAAGAATGCTGCTAATTATAGTCATGGTTGTCTTATGTTATTTGCTAATTCTAGGATGCAAAGCCAGAATAAGAGCAATGACCGCCCTGCCCAACAGACTTGTTGCTGCACATATCTGTATGCTTCAGTCCAGAGAACCTGATGCAGAAAATAGAAAAGGGGGACATGTGGTAGTTCAGTCAGGCTGGCAGAAAAATTTTAAGATGAAGTTATAGGACATAGACACAAATCTTCTTGGAAGGCTGGAAGGTTTTGTAAAAGTCTCAAGATAGGGCTATGGCTGAGAGCAGCTTAATTCTTACCTTGAGTAAATAGCTTAAAGTGGTTTCAAAGGAAGGTAGTTTATCTAAATAGCGTGTTTACTCATGTGATCGTAAGACCAACCTTTGATCAATCGTGGGTGCATAATTGCTCTCTACTTGGGGGTCGGCGATCAGATTAATTACCTACAGGTGTATTGACTCAAAGCCTTTGTCAATTAAATCTGTGCTAAATAAATGCCTGCAGAGTGGAGGCTGTGGCTACTACTCTTTATAGCACCTTCCTTGGTGTCTGTGATGGGCCTGGACCCTTAGCCGAACTGACAGGCAGAATATCTGTGTCAGTATACATTATTCATCTGTTGTTGGGTCAAGGTCTGTGGGACAAACCCCCACAGGTACCAGTGAGGACTTGTCCTAGGAAGGGATTTAAGCTGGCACCTGTGGAGAGGTGGGTTAGAGAAGAGACTGGAGAAAATGATCCCAGCAAAGGAAGCAATCTATGTCAAAGCTTCTGATTTGGAAAAGACCATGGATAGTTTAAAATAAAACCTGAGGTGTGGTCATAAACAAAGTGAAAGGATGAAAGGTAACTGGAATATAGATAATGAACATATTCTTGTATTCATCTTCCTTTATCTGGCTACATCCCCACAATCTCTCTCTACACCTGGACCAACAAAAGACAGTAATTCTCTTGAGTCAGGAATGAGTTCATGAATATGTATTTTGTAAACACCAAAAGACAAAATCTAATAGGGTCTCAAAGAATATACTTCACTAATAATGATAAATTTTATTAAAGACATTGTATTCAGTCTGGATCAATGAGGTGCCTGTCCTGATCCAATCACCCTAGTAATTATGATGTTGTGAAGCACAGGAATGGGAAATGCAAGATAGTATCTTGTGTAAGAAACTGTATTATGTGGTTTTTGGGCGTAACTGAGAAACCTGATGCTGGAACCCATATGGAAATGAGTTCTTCACTGCAGTTCACTGCAGACTCTGCTCTGGGGCTGAATTAGGAGATTGAGGTCAGGAGTTTGAGTGGTTGTGTCCTTAGTTGTTGAGAGAAAAATAGATTATTTTTTTCTGGTTAATAATTTTCAATATGAGCCACAACATGCTAAATATTTTATCCGTTTTAACAGGACCCTCTCTTTGTGAATGTTCTCTGGAATATCTATATAAGTGTAATTTCCCTAAATCTCCTCTTCTGCATATACAGAAACCAGAATTACAAACTTAGCTCTGAAAATGTCCGATGGGTGTTTATTAACTAAGTCTTTCTAGTCAAGGAAATACACAAATGGGCACCTGTTGTCTGTTCTTTAGATTGTAGGAAATCCAGCTCTATGTTTCTTTCTTTCTATCTATCTATCTATCTATCTATCTATCTATCTATCTATCTATCTATCTATCTATCTATCTATCTATGTATGTATCTATCTATCTATCTAATCACTGTGCTAGAAGGATTCTTTCAAATCCACAATTCCAGATGCAGAATTCTGCTGTTTTGTAGTCTGCATCAGTTAACCAGAATCCTCAGGGCTATCAATCATATTTAGAAATACTTAACAATCTACTTGAGCGTTTGAAGTAATTTTTTAAACATTTTTTTCCAGAAGCAAGGACATAGGTCTCCTCAATCATATAATTTTCTCTATTTTCACTGATTTTTACCATTCATTAATAATACATTAATTTCCATTGTTCTACCACTTCTAGAATTTAGTTATCTACTATATAAAAAGCACTCTGTTATAGAGAAGAATGAGAGGACTCTAATTCTGGAGAGTGGCTTCTGTATGACTTTGTTCATTCTGGGTACCTTATTTTTGAGAAGCCCTGCAGAGCCTGGGCTATGCAAACAAACCCATTACATGACACTGTCAATTCTGAAATTTTTAAAATAAGTTGCTGACATTAGTATATCTCAACTTTAAAGCCACATATAATCATAAATTGCTCAAGTTTTACATTTCAGTAGGTCTGGATATGAATCCTGACTCTAACACTGTCTTTGAGAACTTGAAGATTTTTTTTTTTTTATGTCTGCATATGTCTATTTTCTTCTATGTGAATTGGGACAGAAAGTAGCATCCTCTTGATGGTTATGAAGAAGGAATGAGATAATGTACATCAGGAACAACATTTAAGACCCAACACCTAATTAAGTGCTCAAATCATAGAAATATAATTATTGTCATTGTTACATGTTCTATGCTGGGACTTGTAGTTTTTTTCTGTTCTACAAATATATCATGTGCTACACTGACCCTATTAAGGGAAATCCCAGATCAAGAAGTATGGAAAACATCTTATATAATAAGCCTCTCTCTTCACTTCTGTGAAATTAGTAATTTACTCTCATTGACAGGAGGCCCTGTAAAAGTAAAGGGTAGAAGGACTCATCAGTTCTGCTATCTTGTATCATTGAGGACTTGCCAGAGGAAAATATTTAAGCTGGCATCTGAAATTTAAGGAAATTCTTGCCAGCGATGAGATGGGAGAAATGGATTCCCAACAATGAAATAACATGTTTCCAAATATATACTTGGAATATTTATTTCAACTGGGAGTGCTGAAAATAAATTCAGAAATAGTACCAATAAGCAAAGGGGAAAGTTGTGAAAGAAATTGGAATGTGGGTCATAACGCACGCTTTGTCTTCATCTCTGTTTGGCCATTACCCCTCCCCCTCTCAGTAGGTGGAGCAACACAAGATATTAGCCCTCTTGAGGTCAGCAATCATTGCACAAATATATTTTAGATAGCAAAGACTGTGATGTGGTAGTATCTCACTGCATGCATTCAGTAAACACATGGGTGATTTAATTTTATCAAGAGATTGTGGAAGAGAAACTCTTTTAACAGTCTAATGATCTCTGTAATTTATGTTTGGGAGATATGAGGCATGGGACCCAGGAAATTGTACCTTGGTGAAGGAACTGCTGGATGGGGTTGTTGGCGGCATCTGAGGAGTCTTGGGACGGCTTTCAGGTAGGGTTGTGCCAGCCTCTGAAGGTTTTGGATGCTGACTCCGTTCCTGGGGTAGTGCCATGCTCCTGGAGTCATGGCTTCTCTGGCTTGTTTTTTTGTGTATCTGAAAGTATTCATTTTTTTTTTGTTTAATGTTTTTTAATATTAGGGAAAGCACAACATCTTTAAATATGTGAGACTATCATCCTTTATTAAATTCTAATAGATGTCATTACCTTTAAAAATTGCCTCTATCTAATGTATTCCTCCAGGCAACTGCCAATATATTTTTTTGCTAAAATGTAAAATGATCTAACATTCTTAGTCAAATAACATCTTTATTTGCTTATTTTTTAAAATGAACTCCATTTTTGTCTTTATGGCATAAGACAGATGAGAAAAGGACTACTTGTTACCTGTGTTGTATGAGTTTTTCTTACCTTTCTACATATGCCAAAGTTGTACAGAACTCACTATGCTGTTTCTCACTTTTAATATTTGTATGTAACATTTTATCTGCCTGAAGTCTTTCCAATGTCTGTCTTTACCTTGTTAAGAGCAGTAGTATCTAGCGCAAAGTGGTTTGTCATAATGTACAAGGAAGGCAATGGGATACAAAATGTATATCCATGATCTCATTTAATTTTCAAGCCAATCTTATGAGGAACATGTAAGCTATTTCTCTAATATGATGCACCTAAATGAGCAAAATATATACCAAGCCTATCTTACTGCAAAGAACTTAGTTTTGATAACTAACTTCAATTAGTCCTGTGCCCTCCGAATTTCTTCAAATATTTTAGTAGTTAGCACAAGTTTCATGTCTTTTTGAAGAAGATAATTAATGTCATTCTTTTAATATATTTTAATAATTTTCTCTAAGTGTAAGTGCAAGGGCATCATTTCATTTCTTATGAACTTGCAGAATTTTAAGTGTAAAACAACAGAAGTATGGTTTCCTAAAACTTAAAGCAAATGATTTTCATCTTTGGAAAACTAATATTTGTTTATTTCTCACCTGGATGAAACTATGCATTTCTGACATCAGTTTTGACATATTTTCCCTCTTTCTCAGACGAAAGCAGAAGAGTTGAAGCTTATCTCCTTTTTCACAGGGGATATCATGGCATTCTCCTTTTCCTACTACAGTCATACTTCCTGTTTTATCCTGAATTTCATAGATTGTTGTCTTCCTATTTACAATTTTCTGCAACAAAAAATTAATATCATGTTTGTGAGAACATAGTAACTACTGTACATAAGGGAAAGTCTCTTGTGATGATTAAAAACAAGATGCAAGACAGCAACTCCTAGTACTATATCAACATACAACACATATGTCTTAGTCTAGACCATCTCACAGAGCTCTCCCTCAATATCCTTTTTGTTTAAGTCCTTAATGTTCTAAGTATTTCTATTACAGTTCTAGAGCAATGAGTTATCTTCCCAATTTCAACTTCTTTCACCTCCAAGACAGCTATGCTTCCCAAAGCACCTTGATACAAAGGGACCTGAAGTCCTTGGTAGGCTTATTTGGCCTCTGCCCCTATGCAAAAAGAATGGGCATCTGTTACAACTAATTGTTTGCTATGTTATGAGGAATCTGTAATAAAAAATAAGCTTTTAGTAACTATCTAATTACTTTTTTGACTTTCTCCATTTACTGAATCTCTTTCAACATCTCCCATTCTGAAATCAGGTCCTTATGTTCAAACATTCCAATTTCTTGCTCATCAAGGCTATTACTCATCATTCTGGATGTATATTTCTAAGGATAATTTTTTTAAGAGTGTGTACAGAAAGCAACGCTGCTAAAATAAGAGGTCATTCTAGAAAATAAATGTAACAGATTGTGAGCTGTTGATCATGTAAGAAATTACTGGAATCAATAGCCAGGTATAGACTGGTTTTCTGAGTTGGAATGTCTCATGCTAACTAGTTTCATAAATTTTGACAGTAACATATCAGAAAAATTATTCTGCTCTTTTTTTGTGACATATCTAGTATACGAGTACAGATTACTTGACTTTCCAAGTATCATCCAAATTTATATTTCTCAGTTGTTCAATACTTTTTGATGAATAGGCTTCATTTGGTCAGAACATTGTCCTACCTGTTTTCTGCAGTTGATTTCCAGGTATAATCAGTGAATTCATTTCTTGCCCTGATTGTCAAAACTGGAACTCAAGCCTCAAAGGACAATACTTTATTCAAAATGAAACTAATGTGATTTTTGCTACAATTGAGATTATAATCAAAGAAATAAGTTTACTATTATGTTTGTATGGATCTGGATCCCTCACTATCCTTGATCATTATGACTCATAATAGGTAGTCATAGCTGATGAAGTCTCAAGGTTTCTCAGTGAATGTTTTACTAAAGAATTTCAGGGTGATATTTTGGAAAGAAAAACATGGGAATGAGAACATTAATAGTTCTCCTAGTCCTGGTCTTAACCTTGAAGAAGACTTTATTTACTTGTCAGTAGTTTTGAAAGAGTCCTGAGTTCTAATGTTAAGTAAATATGCAAACTTCCATTTAGCACATCAGGGGTTTTAACTTCACGTGTTATTGTAGAAAATGCAACAAAACAGCTTTGATGCCTTACCGTATGTAGCATATATAATCCATATACAATATATCCTGAAGTTTGTTTGTGAAGAATATTGATCTTCGGAGTTTTCTTTGCTCTTATGATGATGTCCTTTGGAACCTCAAACATTTGGTCAGGACCAGCTTCAGATACAGAAGAGGCTTCATTCACCTCTAGGAGACTATTATGTTTAGAATAATTTGATATAATGATGATTCTCTTTTTAATGAATTTCCCCTTCAAGTTGATGTTTAAAACCTTCACATGAAAGAACTGTGTCTGCGTAGCCACTGTAGCATGAAACATTCTTCTTTGCTCATTTTCTGAGAATTCATATTTAAATATCTTTGTTGCACTTAGTACCATCACGATCATTGGGTCTTTTGGGAAAATATTTTTACTGGGAGTTGCCTGACGGTTGGCCAATGGTTTTAGGCTCTGTGCATGATAGAAAAAGGAATACAAAAAAGAAATTTTTGAGTGAGGAATACAGAATTGCTCTTCAATGACCTCAAGTCACAACATTGGGCCCCAAAACGGTTATAGATGTGTAGAGCTAGGGCCAGGATACAGGGAAGGAGAGGATATCCTGAAGTAGTCTCATAGCCAGATGCAGTAATATAGGAGACCACATGGTAAAGGAAGACTCTTCTCTAAACAGAATAATCCTTAAAATGTAAGATATAATAGCAACATAAGACAAGTGGATGCTGAGCTGATTATCATGAAGTAACTTAAAATAAATTTAGGATAAAATAATGAATTGTAGTTTTACTCTTACCAGCTTAAAATGCCAGAGCATAAAAATAGACAAAATACAATTGAATAGCACTGAAAATGGTAAAGGGTATCCACCACAAACCACATACATCACTAGTGTTTAGTTATTACCAATGTAGACAGGGCAATTTTTAGCATACAACTCGTACTTTTCCAGCCTAAGATAAATACTCTTAAAGCAGGTGAGAATACCTGCGGGCTAAACCCCTCAGAATGCCCTCATCTCAGTAGATTCAGGCTACAGACACTCTCTACAGAGTGTCATTTCCACCATTGCAGCCTTTCTCAATGTCAGGGCTCCAGGAGGTAGCATGTGGGCAGAAAACCAAGGATCAGAGTGGATTGTCTTTAATACCCTTTCTCTATAACATCCAGGTTTCCTTAAATTGCAGCAGAACACATTAATGAAGGAAAAGTTGTTCAATTTCAAGAAAAAGCACTGGAGGAATAGGTAGGCCTCATTCGCAAACCAGCAGCTCCTGAGTGGTCTGATCTGGAATACCATATACAGTGATCATCTGTGAGTGATTGGACTTTATTTGATCTGACTTTTCATCCATGCGACCCATTCAGCCTAACACAGAAAAGTTCTTTCCCAATGCAAGTTAATCAGTAACCGTAGACTCATCCATGCGAATATTAATAGTAACCAATATGCAACCTCACAAGGAGCCACATGAATACAGGACCTGCATGAAGGGGATCATAATAACTGCTCAGAGAGACATAATAGGACATTACATTGTATTACGGTATTTTCAGAAAAAATATGTGTATACATAGGAGTAAATATGAGAGGGTATATAGAGAAATGTGGCAAATTATGGATGCTGGAATTTCATGTAAATTTAATTAAGTTTGATCTGGTTTGTCTGCATTTATTCCTTTTTTTTCTGAAATAGTCTTATATTAATACAAAATCTAATGTAAGAAAAAAGGGAATAGAGCATGTTCCAATTGAGGTTGGTGTTGTGGTTTCATCACTTGTTGCCTATCATAGTTGATCTCCTCTATTGTGTATCAGAAATACAGAACATTCTTTTTTATAATAAAGCTCATTAGAGTTTCAATTAGTTTTTAGACTATTGCTGATACATGCATACAGTAAGGCTGACCTGTCCAAATTTGAGACGAGTACAACATTATAAGGATTATCAGAATCATGCAATTATTAATTGTAGTTTACTTTCTTTCATTTGTAAGTCTTGGTGTATCATCTTCTGTCTGCCTACATTTTCCCAAACTCCTGAGCTCTCTTCCCTATTCCATCACTTCTCTTTGTTTTTACAACTTTTGGCCTCACAATAGGTATCTTTGACTGAGTCAGATGACCTTTATTTGTCATTTGCTTAGCTGCAGTGGTTCATATCTTAGAATATGGTTCTTTTTTTTTTTTTTTACTTTTTTATTTTGAGACGGAGTCTCACTCTGTCGCCCAGGCTGGAGTGCAGTGGTGTGATCTCAGCTCATTGCAACCTCCACCTCCCTGGTTCAAGCGATTCCTATGCCTCAGCCTCTCAAGTGGTTGGGATTACAGGCGCATGCCACCGCATCCAGCTAATTTTTTTCTATTTTTAGTAGAGCCGGTGTTTCATCATGTTGGCCAGACTGGTCTCGGACTCCTGACCTCAGGCAATCCACCTGCTTCAGCCTCCCAAAGTCCTGGGAATACAGGCGTGAGCCACTGGTTTTTCATTTTTTCATTGAGTAAAGGTATTTATTGGAAGTTTCCCATGAGGCAGACACTGAAGTAGGCCCTGGTTTACGGTGGTCCACAGAATTACAAACTAACCCTAACCTTGGAACTACGTTGAGTAGGTGGGAAATATAAACACTTCTTAACTTGAGTTGTCATAAACAGTAGAATAGAAAGAAATTCCTAGGAAACAGAACACCATGAAGATTTAGCCTAAGTTGCAGGAGTCTAAGTGAGGATTCCCTGAGGATAAGGTCTCAGTATTGGGATCCAGAGGGTGGATAAAGTTGACCAGTAAGAGTTTTAAGGTGAAAGAAATAAGGTGTGCGAAAATCCTAAAGGAAAAAGGAGCATGGTGTATGTCAAAGAAACTTGAACAAATTAGTGAGCAAAGGGAAGGGGTGTGAAACAGATGGGGGCAGTAGACAGTGAGTCTATTGCTGAAAGTTCCAGATTCCACAGCTCTCTCTCTCTTCCCCAGACAACACAGGACAGAAAACTTTCTGCAGTCAGAGATAATGTCAAGTTCATCAAGTATCCCTTTGGAAGCAAAAGATTAAAATGCAGTGAATTCTCAATCTATACATTTGATTTACTGGCTGATTATTGATGTCATTTTTCAGTAGAGGATGAAATCAGATTCCTGCATTTTGGGTTAAGAAAATGAATCACAAGGGGACCAGGAAGAGTGTACCTCAGTTGAGGAAGCGTTGGGTGGAGCTGATGATGAGGTCTGGGGAGGTGGGGAACAGCCCATGGCTGTGGACATGCTGGCTTCTGCAGAGCAGGAAGGCTGAGTCTGCTCTTTGGACATCTTACTCCTTTTGGTTCCAGTCTCTTCTTCAGATGGTTTTCTTCTTTTCTACAAGTAGTTTATTTTTCTTGTTAATTATTTTCAGTGTCAAGTGAAGCAGAACACATTTTCATTACAAGGCAGGATGTTTATTATATATAAATTATTTTTCTTGGAAACTTAAGTGGGTGTTGTACATCGCCAGGCCAATTGAAAGAACAGGGCATAGATGGTTTCATTTTAAAAAGGGGAGCGGAGAAAGTAACACACATCACTCCTTAATTACTTGTATTTTGGGATATGCTGACTTGTAGTTAAAAAACTAGGCTTTTGTAAACACAGGAAATATTTTTTTATCTGACTCTCAAGTTAAATCCTTCTCTATTGGGGATGAAAATATACTTATTTTATACATATTTACATTATGTTTACTAAAATATTTAACTTGTTGCCTCGCAGAAAGAAGATGATCAATTATTATGTAATTTGATAAATCTGAAACTTGATGGGAACCATAGGAAGAAATAACTGTCTGCTGGAGAGATTGAGTGGAAGAGCCATAGCAGAGCTTCCACTGTGAGACTTGAAGCCTGCTCCTCTTCCTGAAGCTTACCTGAGGTCCAAGAGTCTCCTCTGCTCCTTTAGCTGTAAGTCTGTTGCTTGCAGTGGATGCAGGTGTAGCAGGATCCACTTCTTTCTGTTTCCTCGTTTTAGATGGGGTTGTTCCTTTGACTGGAATGGATTCAATTTTATTCACAACTAATGCAGAAAAAAGGAAGATGTATAAACCCAGAGCAGATGATCGGGGACAGCTGAAGCAGTTTCAATACTATTTGCTCTTAGCGTCTGCTTGAGAGTTCAGGTGTGTTTTAGTCTACCTCTGTTGCATTAGCCTAGTCTGGCTTCCAGGAGGCCAGCAGGAAAAACAAAGGCACAAACACTGACTCATACTCTTCAGTGCTTTCATCACTCCTCCTCTGTGCAGTGAGGACATCCTTCCTGTCCTCTGAACTCCATGTGCCTCAGTCAAACCCATTCCCAATCCTATTCTTCTATCATTTCCTTTTAAAATGTAAGATTCTCATGATGCTGACTGCTTAGTCACATTCTCCAGATAATCTATTCAAATTACAGAAACCAGTGAAAGGAGATGTTATATAGGTTTGTGAGGTGAGATATTGTGACTTTTGACTTTTTTATTTTTTATTTTATTTTTTTGAGACAGAGTCTCACTCTGTCACCCAGGCTGGAGTGCAGTGGCGCAATCTCGGCTCCCTGCAAGCTCCGCCCCACAGGTTCACGCCGCCGTTCTCCTGCCTCAGCCTCCCAAGTAGCTGGGACTACAGGCGCCCGCCACCACGCCTGGCTAATATTTTTTGTATTTTTTAGTAGAGACGGGGTTTCACCTTGTTAGCCAGGATGGTCTCGATCTTCTGACCTCGTGATCCAACTGCCTTGGCCTCCCAAAGTGCTGGGGTTACAGGCGTGAGCTACCACGCCCGGCCGACTTTGTTTTAATTATTTTAACTCAATGATATGACAAGAGGGGAGGTCTTCATACTACCAGGAGCAATGCTTGCATTTAAATACTATGTTATCTTTTGTAATATAAAGAATGATGATGTGTTGAATATTCTCAATAGAATGGACATATTAATTGGCTAAATGTACATATCTCAGATATAAACAACAATTTTTTATAATTTTATTTTGTCATTATGTAATCTGTCAAATGTACTAGAAGTCTCAGTCTGTCTTCAACTCCCTCTCCTTTTTGTTCTTTTGCTGCACCTCAACTCCGATATACGTCAATCCACATTAGTAATGGAATGCCATAAATTGTCAACTTGTTGGCATCTGAAGTGCCAACAATGTCATGGCCAGTGAGTCACAAATTGGGAAAAGGATGTATCAGCTATGACCAAGGTGGCATTCTAATCAAGGTTGGGAAGGTTGGGAAGGTTGCAGCGGGTGGGTGTTCCCTCTTCCCAATTACCTTTTAACTTTTCTCTTTTAAGAGTTTCAGCAAGGTCTCCCAGTGCTGGTATTTCTTTGAAGAATTCTATTAGTTTGCCCAAACCAGCATCACCTGGGAACTTTTCTTCCATCAAGTCGGCAATCTGAATTTTGTCATACTCTTCTTTCATTTTTGGATTAAGTTGTAAATCGTTGCTCAGTAAGGACTTAACAATTCTAAAATGATAATCATTGATGACTTCCAATCCTTTTAGTAGAACAATTTTCTTGTAGTTATTTGCCATCTCTAAAGATATAAGTGAACCTACAAGAGAAAAATTGTAGACAGTGTTGCACACGTATACAGATGATTTAAAAGAAGATGTATGCCTCTGTGAATGAGTGGCCCATAAGAAAGAGTTGTTCATGAATATGTGTGATAAAGAAGGACTTAATGACCAAATGTGTTACTGTAGAAATTGAGTGAAGAACTGTTTCTTTAGGAATGTCCAAGTAATTCTTCCCATTGAATGAGGATAGTTGAATTGGGTCCAGGTGTCAGGAGGAGGTCTGTGAACAAGCAATTGTCTCAGTGTTTAGAGTATGGGCTGTGCAGTGTCAAAGTCCTTGGTTCCTCTTCCCATCCTTTATTGGGGCTGGGGCCTATCCCCCAAAACCTGCCTGTTGTTTCTTAAACCTTCTCACACCCACCACTATGACTGGAGTGGCCTAGGTGTAAATGGGCTGCAGCCTCCCATCTTATATGAATAACTGTCTGCTACAGCGCTACAGTTTCATGCTGGGACACAGACCCTATTCTCCTTAACTCTTCTCTTATCAGCTATCATTAGTATCCTCTTCCTTGGTGTTGGACCCTGCCGTATTTGTCCTCTGTGCCCATAAAACTATCACTTTCCTGGACATCTACATTTTCTCTATTGCAGAACACAGGATTTATTGGCTGGAATATTTTGATAGTTGCTTGATTTTTCTTTTAGGCTCGATTTGTCTAATTCATTTTCATTTAACAGATCCACATTTATCTCTATAAAACACATTTTTATCCCACTGAAATGTTTCAATATTTGCTCATTTTCTTTTCAATACATTCCTTGCTTCTTGTATTGGTTTCAGAAAACTTTGAATAATCTGCATTCTTTTTTCTTTTTTAAACTTCTGGCACTTGTGTGTTCCTTATATCTTACGATTCAGAAGTATAAAACATTTTCATGCTTCATGACTTTGCTAATTCTCTTCTCATTGCCTGGAAAGCTATTCCCACATTCCTCTCTCTAACTACCTCTCCTACAACCTTTAAGACTCAACTGAGAGTTTGCCTTCTAGAAATTTTCAGAGTCCCCTTAAGGACACAGTATTACTCCTCTGGACCTCTTTAGCGCCAGTGCACTTTAGCACATGATGACACACAAAGCATGCTATGGATTCCTAATTCCTTTTTAAATTATCACAGCACTTTGTGAGGCCGAGGGAGGCAGTTCACCTGAGGTCAAGAATTCAAGACCAGCCTGGCCATCATGGTGAATCCCTGTCTCTATTAAAAGTACAAAAGTTAGCCAGGCATGGTGGTGGGTGCCTGTAATCCAAGCCACTTGGAAGGCTGAGGCAACAGAATCACCTGAACCTGGGAGGTGGAGTCTGCAGTGAGCAGAGATCATGCCACTGCACTCCAGCCTGAGTGACAAAAGCAAAACTCCATCTCAATAAAAACAAATACCAAAACAAATATTTTAATTATAGAAAGCATGTATTTGTGTACCTCTTATGTAATTAAGATATTTAAATTCCTGGGGCTGTTAATTGCTTTCTTCTTGAAAGAACGTGAGTGTCCTCAGATTGAAAAGCATAGAATGAAGGAAAAAATCTATACAAAGACATATAGTCAAACTGAAGCATATAAAAAACAAATAAATACTCCATACGCCTCTGAGAATGAAGAATATATCACCTGCAAAGATCCAAAAATTAGATTGAAACTGATCCTCAACAACAAATCTACTTGAAACAGGAGAATGGAATCATTTTTATATAATGCTGGTCCAAAATCCCATATAAATTGCTAAACAAAAAGTTTAGAAATGGGAAGTTTTGACTTGTTTTGTGAGTATGACAACACAATTAACTTGCAAAATGAAACCAGATGTGAGATTACAGGAGGCTATGTATGATTTTTATTTATTCCACTTAAACACAAATATTCATATATTTTGATGCTGAAATATTAGTGCTTTTGTTTTTGCAGTAATGACACTGATAACATTGGGGTTTCTAGAAAAATGTGCATTAAGTTATCTTTTAAACCTCCAAGTTCTGATTTTCAAAACATATCGAGCCTCCCAGGTACAAAAGAAATGCTCTCATCTTGTCTTGAAGGAAAAAATAATTTTTAAAACTAGAATTTCAATCTAAACAAAATGATATTTAAACAAAAGATCCTCAAAACTATTCTCTGAACCTCAAGGCCTTAGTAGTTTTTCCAGACAAAGATGCACACAGAAACATTTTTGGAAGTACTTCTCAATGGAATATTTTTAAAAAATTTTTAAAAAGCTGCAGGCCAAAGGAAAATGAAAAGAATGAAAAACGAACTTGATTATATATGCCTATGTCTTAAAAACAAAGCCCTGATCAAAGAAAAGAGAAACAGAAAGTATACCAACATAGTGGAGGGAGGGAAGAAAAAGAATGTGACAGTTTACTAATGTAATTGTCTTAGAGGGTGAGATGGAAATGTAAGTTTAAAAAAAAAGACAAGTAGGAGAATATAGAAGAGTTATAAATTGAAGTGAAGATAGCAGAAACAGGCCAAAATATGTTAATTATTACGCTATACGTAAAGAGCTTAACTAATTAAATGACAACTTTTATCAAATTTGATTTAAAATTTCTATATGTATGTTGTCAGTGAAAGATCACTGAAAAGTGAAAAAGAAACTTAAATTATCGTGCAAGGAGAAACTAGAAGAAAGCCAGCTTATCTATGTTAGAATCATTTTAAAAAAGATCTTAAGACAAAGAGTATTGTCAGATACCACAAGGTAAAAGGGTGAATTCCTGGGAAGATACAATAATTTAAATTATAGATTTATCTAATAATAATAAATGTATATTATTTTTCATTATTGTATAGTCTTTCATGATAATATATTTTTATATAATATATTTATCTTCATATACACACATATGTACACACACTGCCACAAATATATATATTTATATATGTATGTTTATGTTTAGAAACATGTATGCATGATCACATACCACACGTAATATACATTATATATATGCATATGAGCATATCTATATATTATATATATGAATTTGAGAGAAGTACAAGAAAATACCATCTTATAATAGGAGTTTTTATATCTTCCAATACTAAATGAACAAAGTAAAAACATAACATTTTTACAAATTTGAGCAACAAAATTGATAGCAGTATTTATCTAACATATATAAATTCTGAAATCAACATTTAAAATCTCATATTCTAGTCAAGTACACTGAAATATTGCACCAGGCTATACAGAAAGACTTCTAAAAATTCTAAACTTTGCAATATAAATCTATTTCAAATTGACTTCCCTGCCTCTTTCCTATACATTGCCACTAGAAAAATAAAAAATCATTAACTTTCAGGAGGGCAGGAAGTAATCTTAAAATGACTGAAAAACTGCCTTTTATACCTGGTGTAGAATGATGCTTATGTAAAAGTTAAACATACTTATGAAAATATTGACACAAATTATTTGAATAATTGTGTTTGCAAAATGGATAAATTTTCTACTGTGTTTTCATTTGTAGAATAATATTACTTACGAAACGTTCTCACATACGTTTGTGTGTGAGAACATGTTTTGTAAAATTGAGATAATACCATAAAACACAGCTCTACATCTAGATGTCTTTTTTACTTAATATTATTTCCTGATACTTTGTGTACCACATTATCTTGTCTTATTTTATCTTCTACTTTCATTTTAGGTTCAGGGAGTACATGTGCAGGGTTGTTAAATGAGTAAACTGTGTGTCGCTGAGGCTTGTTGTACAAAGATCCCATCACCAAGGTAGTGAGCATAGTACCAGATAGATAGCCTTCTAACACTCATACTGCTCCCACCTTTCCCTCTCAAGTAGTCCCCAGTGTCTAATGTTCCCATCTTGTGTCCATATGGATTCAATGTTTAGCTTCCACTTGTGAGAATATGCAGTATTTGGTATTCCTGTGTTAGTTCACTTAAGATAATATTCTCCAGCTATATCCATGTTGTGCATATACAGTGTGGAATACTATGCAACCATAAAAAAGAATGAAATCATTATCTTGTCTTTTGCCTAGACCCCTGTGGCCACCACGCTTTCTAACCTCAGAGAATATATACTCAGAGAATTTGTTTTAAAATCTGCAATGATCAAAATGCATATTCCTTCATTTGTGCCCCAGTTGTAGAATAAAGGATATCTACTATCTCTGAAGTAAGTAAAGAATTGGAAGTAGTAACTGCAGTTTTCACTTTTCTGAATATAGTTGATACCAGCTCTACTCCCTTCACCCCACTGCTCTGAAGAGCCAATATTAATTTTTCCCTTGTGATTTTGTGGATTTCAAGGAAACATCTAGATCTTTTCTACAAAAATACGCACAGTACTCACCTTACTGGAAATTTCTTCAACAGTAGTCCAGATCTTGAGATCTTCAGAAATGTAGGAAATGAGGATTGTTTTGAGTAGGAAGATCAATCAGCAAAGCTCTCAGAAACTGAAATACCGGATGTTATAATCTCCTGAAATGCTAAGAAAATGAAGTATTTTCAAAGACAGTAAGGGAAAATGGCCGTCCTTAGAGTCGCTTCACTTGACTAGTACTGGCTTCCTCACACTCTGCTTTGCCCTAGGGAGAGAGGAGTTGTGAAACAATGTGCAGACTCCTCCTACCTCTCACCAGTGTTTTTCGCTTTCCATCCTGTTAGAGAAAATGAACAGTTTCTTTCCTGTAGATATCTTATCAAAGTAAAATTTATATCAAAGTTATATTTAAATTTTTTTTTCTTACAAATGTTGATATCTGAATGGAGTTCCAACCTTAGAACTTTCTTAGCCAGTAGATTTACATGTGAGTCATTAGGGACCTCTATTCCGATGAATGATTGTCAAATATAAGACGAAGCAAGGCAGCTTCTTCTCCCTCCTTTCCTGTGCACAGAGTGGCAGTTGCAGGAGGAGATCTTGGTAGGAGCATCTATTGCTACCAGTACTTTACTGCATCTCCCGCATGGGAGAATGTCTGCTATGAAATGGCAATTGGTTTAAATACTACCTGAAGCATTCACCCAGTTATTAATAGTTGACAAACCTAGGGCTTTCCATATCAGAAAGTTATTACCAATATATAAATCCTTTCTCAAATATATATGAAGGAGTTTAACACTAGCTATCCTCTTGACTATGACTAGGTTACTTAACCTCAATGATTAGATTCATGACTACTCACGTTTTCTTCATTATTCATGGAAAAACACAAGTGGATAGTGGGCTCGCAACATGACAGCATCGAAGCCTTGAAAATCCTGGAAAATGCACTGAACTTCTGGTAGGGTGAGAGTCCTGTTAAACCATTTTCTCAGCAGTATTTTTTCTGTTAAGGGCAGTGGGTGTCCTTCAGAGTACCGTAGCCCCAAGATGTCAAATAAATGACACCAACTGGCAGATGATGTTGTGTTAACCCAGCAGCAGATCTGCAAGCAGGATGTGGCTGTGAGTGGAAAGTGGGGCCCCAGATATAGCTGTAGGGGAGAAAACATATATATTTTTTATGTATTTTTTAAATTTCCCTTTTTAGCTGACACTCTCCTGAAAACGCCAAATTAACGAGAAAAACAAGCAGTTTATTAATGTGTGCTCTACTTATCACAAGGGATAGGCCTCAGTTCAAAAGTATTTCTCTCTCCAGGCTGTGGCTTAGAAACCTTGTTTAAATAGTGTTTCAATGAAGAGCCATAAATCCTTTACAGTGAAAAGCAAAGGAGAAAGCAGTCCCAGTCATTTAAAGGTGGGAAAATGTGGGATGTTCCCAGATTCCTCAAGTTTCTGGTGGTGCCTTCTCTGGGCTGAAAAGCAAGTGCTTTCTCCAGTAAATAAGGATTTATGTCCTGCCATCAGGCAAATAGTGCCTGAGGCAGCATATTCCCCTGCATTTTCTGTGTGTTTAACTTAATAGTCCTAAGTATTTTGAGAAGTATTTTTGGTTTCCTTCACAAATAATACAAATGATCTGAGGCCATCTTGGAGCAGAAGAAAGCTGATCATCTTAGTACAAACTGGGGTCACGGAGAGGATAGTTGAAGTCTGGATTTGGAAACATATGATAACTTTATCAAAGCAAAAGTAAGTTAAGAAAAAGCAAGGAGGATCTGGAAGGGTGGCCACAAAAATACCTTTGAGTGTTCATGGTTTTATAGGTTTACGTGCTGTTAATGTGGAGACACTGAGTTGGTTTTAACATAATAGGTAGAGAGGGATATTAGGAAGGTCAGGTTACCCCAATTCAAAGGTCAGAGAGTAGAGGAAACTTGGTAGAAATTACCGTGTTTCAGGACATTTTTCTCTCCCCTTTGTGGTAATAATTTCATGCAGAGTAATGCCTTTGGTTAGGACTCCAGCATACAACACACAAATTACTGTCACCAAAGACAATTCAGAACATTGCTCCGTAATCCATACTGTGCAGATAAAATTGTAATAGATGGAGCAAAGAAACGCTTTAAAAATGTGCATTTGTACTGATTCTGAAGCAATGGGCAATAATTTGCAATTTGTGCCATCACACAGAAAGCGCATTAATAGAACATACAAGAGATCCTGATAAGGGGGAAAAAGTCTGGATGAACCTGCATGACTTTATCATCTGAAGTACTAATTCCCATGCTCATTCAAAGTCCTCAGGAAAAGTTCCCACCAGATTAATATTCTAACCAAGATGTTAGTAAATGACTGCCTATGGGACAATACTAACACATCATCCACTTTTGTAAGTAAAATTTTATTGAAACACAGCTGTGATTATTCACTTATGCATTGTCAATGTCTACTTCATGGTGCAATGAAGAGTTGACTAGCAACAGAGTACATCTGGCTGCAGAGTGTAAAGATTTTGCTGCATGGCTTATTATAGAAAATGTTTGTCAGTCTGTACCCAGTCATCAGTCTAGGAGACAGCAGAAAGCCTGTAAAGAGAAAAGCAAAAGTAAGTAGAAGAGCAATGTTAAATCAAGGTTAGCCTAAAGCTGGCTTCTTACATATTCTAAGTTCGGCCTAAAGGTTTCTCATGCAGCGTGAATGATGGCCTAAATGGAAGTGTAAACGGACTGTAGTATACTCTTGGGTCAATCACCAAGTTCTGGCCAATCAAATGTGGCCCACTTGTTCAAAACGCATTCAAATAAGGCAAACTCCGAGCTATAAGCAATCCAGCTCTCTATCTCATGTCCATTTTCTGTATCTCACTTTTCTTTTTCTCTTCATAAATCTTTCACTATGTGGCTGTGCTGGAGTCTCTGACCCTACTCTGGCTTAGGGAGGCTGCCTGAATAACAAATCGTTCATTGCTCAATTAAACTCTTTTAAATTTAATTCAGCTGAAGCTTTTCTCTTAACAGCAATCACACCAACAAACCACATTTGGGACTTTTAAAGTCCATTGTAAACCCAAGGATAAAGGCTTGTGATAATTTTTGTGATCTCAGAGAGGAAAATGGAAATGCAGAGTGTTAAAGCCTTTCTCTATCCCTAAGAGTCAGAACAAAACCCATTTGTATGGGAGCCTCCGTTAGCAAGATTGCTTTACGCATTCATGACCATCGGCCACCTGAAACAGGTGCCTTCTCCTTTTGTCTCTCAAGTAAATAGTTTTCTGTTTCTAAAGGAAGAGGGAAGGGTGATTGAGTTTTAAATGTTGAATCAGTCTTACATTCCCGAGATAAAACACTTTTAATGATGCATTACAATTTATCATATTGATAAGTATATTGGTAAGTATAATTTTTCAATATTTCAAAAGTGTTTTTATATTTATTTTCATGTGAGAATTGGCTTTTGTTTTAGTTTCTGTGTAATATCTTTAATTGGGTGTGACAGCAAACTGGCATTTCTAAAACAGATTGTATAGACATGGCAAACTTTTATCCTCAAATGTCTGATAGAATTCATAAAGTGTCTATTCCCATAACTTTCACTACGGAAAGATTTTTGTTATAACTTCTCTTTCTATAATAGATACAAAAATATTTAGTTGTTTTATTTCCTTACAAGACAGTTTTGGTAAGTTGTGTTTCATGGGAATTTTTTCTGTAACAAATTTGTGTTTTACAGGAATTACGCAAGTAAGTAAACAAACTTATTTGCATAACATTGTTCATAATATTATTTTATTACCATTTTAATATCTGCAGTGTTATCCCTTTACTTTCGTGATACTGGTCATTTATATTATCCTCCAATATTTTTCTTGCTTATTCCTGGTAGACTGACTCTCTGAGGAGGATGCTCAGGGAAGTTCAAAGTCAAGAGGAGGGACAAAAAGGACAGTAAAGGATTCTGAAGTGTTTGGAACCTACATCTAGGACAAAAGGTAAATAACGTTTTAACACCTAGCCAGACTAACAAAAAATCTTATACTAAAGGTCTATTTATTTCAGTTCCTATTACCTGATCATATATATCTTCCTTTTGACAACAACAACAACAACAAAAAGAAAAAGCAAGGTATGCTAAAGACAAGGAAAAACAGAGTCTGAAGAGTCAAAAGAAGCATTAGAAGCAGACTCAGATATGACTGTGATGTGGAAATTTGCTGACAGGGAATCTAAAGTTACTGTGATTAATGTATTAAAAGTTCTGATGGAAAAAGTAGACTGCATGCAATAACAGATGAGTAAGATACGCAGAGAGAAGAAAACACTAAGAGACAAATCAAACAAAAATGTATGAAGTGAAACAATTGTAATAGAAATAGAAAATAATCAATAGGCCAGATACAATCTAGAAAAGAATGTTACCTTGAAGATAGATCAATAGAAATTTCCCAAACTAAATGCAAAGGAAAAAAGTATTAAGCCCTCCAGCCCTCAGAATATCTAATAACTGTGGTGGGATTGAAAAGCCAGAAGGAAAGAAAGAAGGAAGCATAAAAAGTACTGAACTGGTCTCTTTGTCTGGCATGACACCTGAGGTTCTTGGTCTCATGGCCACAGAGATCAAGGATGCAGACACACACAAAGGGTGAGGTTTAGAGCTGAATTTTAACAGGCAAAAGAAAGAGAATAGTTCTCTGCTACAGAGAAGCATCCTGGAAAAATGGGTTGCGGATGTGCTGTGAAATGAAGAGATTTTTATAGATGAGATAGGGGAGATGGTGTCTGACCTACATAGGTTGTGTAAAACTGGTTAGGACCAGCTGTGCCATCTGCATAGGGCCCGAATCTCTGGCTGCCCTTACTCCAGTCTTTTATTATGCAGGTGGATAGCTACTCCATGTTGCTTATTTCTTTCTTACCGTACACATGCTAACAAAAAAGGGAAGGTGGAGCCCCGTGGTGAATATGCCTCACACCAGGTAGCCCTTTCTATTGGCACTGCCAGCATCCCCCTGTGGAAGCTCCTAGCTACCTTCTCTATGTTTGCAGTTCGATCTTTCAGGCTGCTCTTTATTAGAAAATAAGTGATTTTTGGGCTGCTTTTTGTTAGAAGGCAATTCTGCCGAGGACTCTTTTGCCCTCACTATCTGCCTAAGATAATTTATTTCCATCTCCTGTACCAGTATTTGGAGAAATAATTGCCAAGAAATATTTAAAACTAACCAGAGCCAAAACCTCAGATGCAGGAAGGTCAGATATTTTCCACCGCGATAAATGCTGAAAAACAAATCGTATCTGGGCATTTTATATTCCAACTGCAGAAAAGTCAAAGAAAAATCTTGATCAAAGTCAGAGGAAAGTAAAATATTGTATTGTATATAGTGAAGCAATTCCAAGAATCACTGTAGAGTTTTTTGTCAGGAACATTGGAGGCAACAAGAGAAAGAAGAATATAAAATGAAATGCTTAAATGTATTGAAAGAAAAAACATGGCAATCTAGAATTCTATATCTGGCAAAATTATTGTTCAAAAGTGAAGGAGATCAGATGTACATGAAGAAAAGAAGACCATCAGAGAAGGCATAAATGCAAGTCAATTAAATTTTGAAAATTTTGATTCTTAATTTATTTAAAAGATAACTTTTTTAAAGTAATAATAGTAATAATGTATTCAGTCATTATAGTATATAAATACAAGAAATGAGCCAGGGAAAAAAATGGAGGAATAGGGGATTTTCTGTTATATAGTATCTGTTGTATACATAAAGCAATACAGTAATATTTAAAGATAGATTTAGGTTAGTTAAAGCTATATTTTTGAAACTCCAAGCCAAACAATAAAAAGATTTTTTAAAAGAATAATTCATATGTTAAGAGAAGAAAAGAAAAAAATTATTGCTCAATTAAAACCAAAAAAGGCAGAAAAACAGGGGCAAAGAAACAAAGAACAAATGCAACAAATAGAATGCAGTCGCAAAACTAGATATTAATCTAACTATAACAACTACAGAAGAGCTCTGATTTG